GGACGTCAGTAGCTTCCGTGAGCGTAATACGTGATTAAGATTTTATAGGGACAAGCGTGCCTTTGCGGGTTATTGACATTTATGTCTTTCTGTATTCTTTATTTCTTGATACTGTCCTGTATAAAGCTTTAATATGTAGTTTGTAGTCGATATTTCGGCTTCTGTTGGGAAACTTCATAAACCTTGAAGACCCTTATGAATTATGTAAGTAGATGATGTCCCTTCCGAGGGCTGACAGTATTCATCCGAAATAATTCTATATTTACCCCTCAGCTCCCGTTCGTATAGACTGGTACAGCATTCACTCATGAAGCAGAGCCCTTCTTGAGAAGCTGCCAAAATAATAATAATAATAATTCAATTCAATTCTTTATTATTTATGTGCCGAGTCAACAGCCGCAATGCCAATTACAGACAGAGCACAGGGTAGTTACAAGTAATTACATTATGGACAAACACTACATAGAGTCAAAGACAAATTACAGGCAAGCACTAGAGGAGAACACAATAATGCAGTCACGTAAACAAACAAAGAGTAATAATAATAATTTAATTAACATAAATCAATAATGCAGACAAGTAAACAAACAAACAAATAATAGCAATAATAATTTCATTAACATAACTCTAAGTGTTGTTGAGAACTGAGAAATGAAACAAATACTTAATTGAGAAATGAAAAGTATAGATTTTCAGAGAGGCTAATAATAATTATCCAGTTTAATTGTTGTTTATTGTACATGCACATAATACTAACAATTATACTATATTTAAAAATCGTTTGGGGAGAATAATTATAATAATAATAATTGTGAAGCTACTCAGGAACTTCCCGGCCTCTTATATAGCCCGAAGGTTCATTACCGTGTTCACAAGAGCCCACCACTGGTCCCTATCCTGAGCCAGATCAATCCACTCCATCCCATCCCATCCTGTCTCTCTAAGATCCATTTTAATATTGTCCGCCCCTACCTACGTCTTTGTCTTCCCAGTCGTCTTCTTCCTTCCGGCTTTCCCATCAATATCCTATATGAATTCCTTCCTCCTTTCCTCCACTTTCCAAAGTACTCGGAGAAAACCCGCCCTAGCGCCACTTTGTCCACCACAAATTCCACTTGACCAGACGCGGGATCGAACTCGGGCCGCCGCGGTGGGAAGCCAGCGACTAACCGCTTGAGCTATGGCGCGGCCTCACACCGGCATATACCGTACAAATAAAATTAAAATATTTGTGATTTGTTTCATGCCCGCCTGTCTGTTCGCAAATTACGGGACAGTGAAAGTTTGTCTGGTAGACGGACACTAAACTGTGCTAAGACGTTCCAAGTCCGGTTTAGTTAATAGGAGCCATCTCACTTACGGGCTTAAATAAACGCTTAAGAATGGAGTACAGATTCTGCTGAAAAGTGATTTTACGGCGTTCATGTTATTAGCAAGTACAATTTTCATTCACGTTAATTCATTTTTAACTATTCGATTTTTTTTGGGGGGGGGCTATCTAAGTTTTAATGAGCAAGCGGTCTTGCACAAAATATATAGGTATCAATAAGATCTACAGTTTGGTCCAAAATTCACTTAACTTTTCAGTAATATATACATAGTATATATATTTATCTATTACTTACGGAATTTACAAAAAAAATGTTCGAAACGAGATCCTCCATATTCAATATACATCTCACAACGCTGTGATACCGTCCTACAAATTGACAGCATGTTTAAATTTGTACCTTCCCATCAACACTAGACAGTGTTTAAGGTTAACTGATTTTTGTGCCACTTCGTGTATGCATAAAGTGTGATATGTACAAAAAAATATTATTTTGTTCGATTTTTTGCTGTTTATTCAACAATGCTTTCAATAACTCGTTGTGTGCGTCATATTGGATTTTAGCGTCAGTATGTGTAGAATATCTTATCCATTTTCATTCTGGCACGTATATAATTCTAGGATAACTATACAGTTTATACATTACGACATATTTCGGCCACTATTTTTGGCCTTCATCAGGTAGTAATTATACAGTCATTCTCTAGTGTTCCCCTTCCACTGGCCAATGCTTACAATTGGAAATGGTCATGCTGTTTGCAATGTAGGTTTCTACTTGCACCCTTAAATAAATGCTTATGCAAACCTTGTCTAGTATTCAGAAGTGTATGCATTTTTCTCAACACAAAACCAATTTTTATTTTGCATCAGTCTTAAAATCGTTTATAGCTGCCTTGGTTTTAATTAAAATAAATCAGATAAATTCAGCTAGTTAAAACTGGATCAATTTGGTTAATTATTTTTTTTATTATTAATAGTTTTTGGTATTTTTGTTATTTCATATTTATTTAATTTGTCATGTTGTTCTGGGTTCTGTGTAATGATCGCTTTTCTTGATGAATACGGTAAACCCAGTTTCTCTTAGGTACGTGTATTCGCCGCTTGTCGGATACTGGATTTATATTACATATGCGTATTCTTCGTTTTCGCTTTTTTGTTTGGTGGTCTGAAATAAAAAATATACCTGATATATTGTTAAGTGGGTATTTTAATAATATTTGTGGTTGTTTTGTTAATGGACTTCCTTACTTTTTTGTATCCTGGCGTCGTGTTCATGGCGCGTGCTTGTGTAGAACTGATGTTGCGGGTAACTGTTTACGTTTTCTGTGATCATATTGTGCTGCTATCTATATTGCGGACGTTGAAGTGTTTTTTGTTAGTATGCAGTACAATGGTTATATACTACCTTAGTAGCAAACAACAACATTCCCTTCCCCCAGTTGTAAACACTGTCCAATAGAGAGATTTGAGTGAGACTGTATGAGTATTACCATATGTTGACAAAAAAAAAGTGGTCAAAACTTGTCGCAATGTAAAAAAACTATACTTATCCTAGAATTATACATACTCGTACATTGCGAGACACAATGAATAAAATATTGCATGGCGTCGAATGTTGGACCACGTCTGTGGTCTAGGGGTCAGAGTTCCTGGCTACACATCCAGAGATCCCGGGTTCGATTCCCGGCACTGCCAAATTTTCTGAGAAGTAGTGGGTCTGGAACGGGGTCCACTCAGGCTCGTGAGGATAACTGAGGAGCTATTTCAAATAAATAGCGGCTCCGGTCTAGGAAACCGAGATTAACGGCTGTGGGGATCCGTTACGCTGACCACGCGACACTCTTTATCCGCAAAAGTTCGCACTAACTTCGCCGAGAAGCGGCGGTCTCTCGGTCGGTATAATTCGCTTGCGGACTACAGGCCACGGAGATTTTTTTATTGTTGTATGGAGTCGAATGCTAGAATGAATAGTTTACGACGAATTGAAAAGGTGTGAAAGGAAGCGGTCGCAGCCTAATTTCAAGCACTGGTCAGATAATGCCTGATGGAAGTGAAGGACGTCAGTCAGAAAAGCCAGTCTTCGGGCCGATGCAATTCGTGGGTACTGCTGGCAGAACACGAAACGAAATCATTCAGATGTGTACACAGGTTAAAATTTGTGTCTCAAGTGGGAAAAGAATTTGACCTGCGTCTGTAACTGGTATTGTTTGCATAAAATATTGACTCTAATGTTACAGCACGCAACTCTAAGTGTAAGTCCGTTTGATAATGTAGCAGCTAGTTTATTATTAATTTTCAGTTTATTTTCTAATGATGTGTCCCTAGGACAGTTGTGTGTAGGAAACAAGTCGCAACCAGAAACACGCTCACGGAACAGTATACTGTGAGGTTGGTAAAAAGCGCATCCATGAACCAAACTTACGCGTTTTGGGTCAGACAAACTTGACAGGGTGAGCCGGGATAGCGTAGTCGGTATAGCGACTAGCTACGGGCTGGACGACTAAGAGGTCGGAGTTCGAGTCCCGGTAGGGGAAAGAATTTTCTATTCTCCACGTCTTCCAGACCGGCTCTGGGGTCCACACAACCTCCTATCCAATGGGTACCGGGGGACCTTTCTTCGAGAGTAAAGTGGCTGGGGCATGAAGCTGATCACTCACCTCCAAGTAGTGCCGAGGTGAAGAAAACATGGATCTATACACCCACTCCCCATACGCCTTCATGGTGTATTGCTTAATTAGTTAAGCACAGGAACAACTTTTTTTCCCTTGGCACTACAGCCCCAATGGGCCTAGGCCTACCTCCATGAACTCCGTTCGCTTCGGTTTTTCTAGAGCTTACATATACGGTAGGACTCCTTGGGCGAGTGATCAGCTCGTCGCAAGGCCTCTACCTGTACACAAACACAGAAAAACGCACACAGACATCCATGCCCTGAGTGGGATTCGAACCCACGATCCCAGCTTCCGAGCGAGCGAAGACAGTGCATGCCGTAGACCGCTCGGCTACCGTGACCGGCCAGGAACAACTTTACCTTTACTTTTACCGATGAGGTCATCAGATTTATTCATTTTACCCAATCCTTCCAGCCGCACTATGGCTCTGAGGTGGACTCAGCCTCTAACAGAAATGAGTATCAGGAATATTCTTGGAATGTTCTTGGAGGTAAAGGGCGGCCGGCGCGTAAGGCTGACAACCTTACCGCCATCTATGAGCCGACTGTCTAGAAAATGTGGGAAACTCAAAATCTCACATCGTTTAGGGCCTCCACGGCTATTACAGAGATAATTTTATTTTCCTTTACTTTTCTTTCCTTACGTGACAGGAAGAGCGCTCGACTCTTGAAGCTGAACCCGCGCTTGCGAAATGAATGCCAATGTGTTCTCTGTACCGGTATACAAGTTAAACAGATTTTCTGTCTTACAGCCCATTATACCTTTGCCTCCCAACACCTGCCGGCTGGCAACCGCAACGCAACCGCAATTTCCGATAATTGTTATCTGCCTGAGTTGAACGCATGTTACTGAATGGGGCAGCACAAATTGAGGAAACGGCAAGGCACTTTGATCGGCACCCGAGTAACATGAAGCTCTTTCTGTGAAATATGGATGCTCTTTGTAAAATTAAGTTATTCTCACCCAGACTCTAATTGAAGTTTGTGTTTGTTTTCCAGCTTGTGACTGTCACCCAATCGGTGCATCGGGGAAGACTTGCAACCAAACAACAGGACAGTGCCCATGCAAGGATGGCGTAACAGGCGTCACGTGCAACCGGTGTGCCAAGGGCTACCAACAGAGTCGCTCCCACATAGCACCTTGCATCAGTACGTCTACATAACGTTCAATGATCGAATAAAACCTGTTTATAAGGGACCTGGACACTTCACCGTTTGACGCATGTTAAAGTGTACAGTAAGAGCCAAATCACAAGTCAGTCGAAAATCCAGTACTGGAAACTTATATTTTTTCATCCCTGTTCCATAACTTCTTTCGGCAGCCATTTAAGTTTCCTGTCGAATGTCCGGGTTGCTTCTATTTTGTGAAAGGGGTGCTTATTTTTAAAAGAATACAAGGCAGAAAAATTACATGAACTGAAGAATGTCATATTTTGGAACTGGGCGCGAACAGTATGGTAAAATTTTACCGACGTTTCCGGAGAAACACACTGCCTCCATCTACAGTGCGGAAGAGAAAGCCAGACAAGAAAGCTGATGCCTTATTTTTTGGCTTACTTTTTTACAATGAAGACAGGGACAATAAGTAACTCCGAAACGTCGGTGAAATTTTATCGGACTACACGCTGCCACATCTCAAAAGTTAACACTCTTCATAGTCACCGCCATGATAAATTATATATATATATTTTCTTTTGTTTTCGCGAAAAATCGCTTCCGCTTATTACAGACAAGTTGGCAATTGTTTTAATTCTATTTTCGGCACAGTAGAAACTGATAAATTGAAGTGTCCGATTAATGTAGGTAGTGCTTTAGACAGGTTTTATTTCACAATATTACTCTTACATCATAGTTGTTTATCTGTATTATTTTGTGTATGCATGGCAGTTCAGTGCTTATGTGTAGAAAATGCCCTTCCTGTCTCATCCTCAAATGACATTTTTTTTTCCTTGGCACTACAGCCCCAGTGGGCCTAGGCCTACCTCCATGAACTTCTCCGTTCACTTCGGTTTTTCTAGATCTTACACATTCGGTAGGGCTCCTTGGGCGGGTGATCAGCTCGTCGCAGGGCCTCTGCCTATATACAAACACAGAAAAACGCACACACACAAACTAAACATCCATGCCCTGAATGGGATTAGAACCCACGATCCCGGTTTCCAAGCGAGCGAAGACAGTACATGCCTTAGACCGCTCGGCTACCGTGACCGGCGCAAATGACATTTACATGTCTCCAATTATCACACTGTTTAGTAATATTAATTAGCAGCTCTCTCTAATTCTGTTTTCAATTACCGCCGCTGTAGGACCACTATGTGGATGCAGAATTCAGTTCATGAGAAAAGCTGTCATTCGTAGACCTGCCTAATTTCGTCGTCTATTAGTGAGGGCAGAAGCCTAGCTCAGCCCGTATACATAGGGGCTGGACGGAGCGCCCAGACCGGCTCTAATTTACAACGGGGTCTCTTTCTCCGTGGATAAAGCGGCCGGAGTGTGAAGCTGACCACTCATTTGAAACTACTGGCAAGGTCAAGAATAGTGAAGCTATATCTCCCTTACGTCTTCTTTGCGTGATGCTTAATTAATTAAGCACAGGGACAACTTTACATTTATTATTGTCAGGGCAGACTACTAACAAGAATGCCGTCTTCTGGGATGTGGCACCGTGTAGATATTGTGTAAACCGATGTTTCGGAGGAAAGTATCGCTTCCATCTTCAGGATATAAAAATCCGCGAGCGAGGAACCTATATTTCCGCGGGAAAGTATTTACAGCCCCCTTTCTTTGTAGTGGCCGGCTGTTTAGATTGCCTTAGTCTAGCAATTGCGTCTCTTCTCGTTCTTCTATCCCGGGTTTAAGCAGATATATCACAATATATGACATTATAGGTTATAAATATTGTCACTGACTATACATTTCTGGTGAGATCATGCACTGACCGGGACTTGGCGGGGTTATAACAGCAAATTTAATTTCGTTTTTCTCTGGCATTATTCCATATTTGGCTGTCATTAACGGACAACTAAGATATATTTAACAAGAACAATTTTCAATTTGTCTATATCATTTTTGTCTCTAATTTATTAATATCTTATTATATTTGAGCATCCTGTTACACTCACACAATATAACGCGTGTAGGTTAACAAAGATTTTATACAATTAGAAAGACTGGTGATTTTAAATTTTAACAGGCAGTGTAACAGCTACGTAAGAATACACACCTGATGATGGCCATTTAGGGCCGAAACATGTAGTGTTGAGTGAGGGGAAAGAAGAAAGAACTACAATTAAATTGTTACACTTAAGACGGTGTTTGTCTCATATATATTATTAATATCGCTAGATAACTCAGCCGATAGGCCTATAGCAGAGGGCTACGGGATGGATTCTGGAAGTGTTCGAGTCCCGGAAAGGGCAAGAGAATTTTCTCTTCTCCACAATTTTCATATCGGCCCTGGGGCCCACCCAGGCTCTTGTATAATGGACACCGAGGACTTTTTCCCCGGAAGTAAAGCGGCAGGAGCGTGAAGCTGAGCACTTACCTCCTAGTGCCAAGGTTATAGAAACCGTAGAGGTATACCTCCACTCTTTCATACGTCTTCATGGCGTAATACTTACTTCATTAAGCACAGAGACAACTTTA